CCAGTTTCTAACTGACAACTGAGTTGTTTATTTTCTTATTATTAAGTTTTAAAGGTCTTTGTATGTTTTAGATATAAATCTTTTATATATGTATATTGCAAATATTTTTTACCAGTCGATACGTATTTTGCAAATATTTTTTACCAGTCGAATGCTTGTCCTTTCATTCTCTTAACTTACTTGAAATTACATATGTTATCTATTATCTATCTCATATATTTATTTGGGGGTACTTGGTGAATACTATCAATCTGAATTTGTGTCCTTTGTTCAAGGAAAAGTCTTATAAAAAATTTCTAATAAATTCATAATTTATTTTTCCTGTAATTTTTCTTCTATAATTTTATCCTATACTTTTCTCTTCCCTGTCTTTCTAGAACTTTTATGAATGAGACGTTTTTCCCCCAGTCCTCATATTTAATGCTTTGGGTTTTTGTTCCGCTTTGTAAAATCTATCTCCTGAGACTTCTATTGGTTTTTCTTTAGCTCTCTCATATTGTTGTTAATTTTAAAAAATATTTTACATCATCTAATTGTTTCTTATTAATAGTATTCTGTTCTTATATCAAGGATCTAATGTTACCAAGTATTTAATTAGGGGGAGTATTATTTATAGACGTGTTTTCTTTTTTTAGTTTTATTCTCCCCTCTGAATTTCTCTGCTCCAACCAGTTCACTTTCTACTATAAAATTTATTCTAGATATGTGATTTTCGTATTGGTGGATTTAATCACATCCCTGATAATCTTTGATTGTCCATTTATATTTCACGGAGAGGGATGAATAATCTAGTAGATATTTTTATGAACATGAGGGGATTTATTATCTGATCACTTACTTTGTAGGCTGATGAGAAAAAGCCTACCCAATTCACTGAGGGATTACTCAAATGCCAGTATTCGTTTGTCTTTTCTTTAGAGACAGTTTTTACAGAGAATAATCCTATAATCTCCTAACTGTGGAATAGCGATCTGTTTAGTATATTAGGAGATGAATGGAAAAATGCTTTCCATGAGCTTCGGCATTCGATATGTATTATTCTATATAATCCCTCTCTTTTACATATGACACCTCAGTCCTAGAATCTTTTGTACCTAATATCTCATATGTGGATCGTCTTTATTTCAACTACTACAGTAACCAATCATTTTGCAAAAATTCATAAGAAGTGGGTTTCTGGGTACTTAATTAGGAAATCTCACATATATATTTACCTTTTCTACCATTCTCAGTCACATCCTAGTGTTTTCCAGGATTGTTCTGTGCAGATCAGTTTTCTTCTCATTAGAATCCTCTTCTGTAGGCACCTAGATTACAGACTTATCTATCCTGTTTTGTCTTCTGAGAATACTATATAAGATTCGTATGTTTATAAAATTAGCTATCATTCCCTCTTACAATTTCTCTGCGTGTACACCTACAGTGTTAGTAGATTATAGGTAGAAGCATAAATAAAAACGCATTTTCAAACTGCCAGGTTTAACTGTAAATTGACACTTTTGTATTTCTTAAATTTGTATTTTATTATTAAATGAAGCAAAGAAAGATACATAATAATGATACAGCTTGATTAATTGGCACAAAATTACAAAAGCTTATAATCAGCACTGACCAAAAGAGAATACACTACCAGCGTCCTCAAAACGAAAACTAATATAGATTCTGATTCAGTGGGCTGGACTGGAGATCAAGATTATGCTTTTCTTGTAAGCTCTCAGATGGTGCTGAGGCTGCAAAACCAGAAACCACACTTTTAGTAGAAAAGCTTTAAGACACCGATTCCTACTGCACAGGAGAGTTCTTGGCTCAGTTGGTATCGTTTTTGAAATCCGTGAGTCCCTCTAGAACGTGGATCTCTTTTATTTTCATCATCTAGAGGTCTCTATTCATGACTCTACTGGACTCTCTTTTTTTCAAATAGTGGTCAGAGATATTCTAGAAAACAAAGACACAGCCTCAGGTAGAAAATCTTTTAAGACTATTTAATAATAACTTTTGATAGACCTGGGGAAAATAGTAAGCATAGTGCACAGGGAGCACCTGCTTGTGGATTTATTATGAGCAGATTATTTTTACTAAAAATATGTTTCCTCACTTATAAAAATCACTGATCCCACCCATTCTGGACCTTAGCTTTTTTGAGGCGAGAGCAAAATGAATCCAGTCGAGCCTAGACTTTCTGATTACCCGCATCCTACTTCTGTCATCTTACTCCAACCAATGTCCCTTAGTTTCCTTCTTATGAACTGTAACTGATTTTAAAGGAGAAGTGTACAATGACATGATAGTCTACCTACAACAAAAGCAAAAAGAAGAGAACTTACATATCCCTAAATTTACTGTGGGTACTTTAGTATGTTTTCCATCCAAGCTGGAGAGTAGCCTTACAGGCCTTGTAATGAAGTCTGGTGAACTCCTACAAGACTACTGTTTCTCACTGGCTCTCCAGGTCACTACACTGACAACAGCCCCAGGGCTTCATTCACGAAGAACAGATTTCTTAATCCATAAAGCTGGAATCTATGGAAGAATATCTCTACCTAGTTTCTCAAAATGCTTCAAAGTGCTAAATGGTATTTTTAAAACTTGTGAGAGGTCTATCTATTCTCAATGTGAAAACTTGAGCTGATGACTGAAATGGCCTTTCCTCTGTAGGAAGAAATTTAGTTACTTTGTAAGTTATGTCTGTAAGACAGAGGCCTTTATAAAACAAACAATCCAAAGTACAAACTTTCCAAACATGTCTGTTTCTATGCAAAACCCAGTAATCATAGGAAATTTACTTTCATCAGATTCCTTGACTCATCTTACTTCCTTTGGCTATCCTCCCTCTATTTGGTCATGGATTTTAAAAATTCTGATGTCCTTCATAAGTCTCATCATCGTAGTATAATTTTATAATAAACTTTTTTCTGAGAATACACCAGATAGCATCACGTTAATTTTTCGCTATGTTCGCTTATATTCTATAGAATGCCATAATCTGAGGTACAGATGCTCATAGTAAATATTTTCAAATGTACTCTCCCACTACCCACATAAAACATTACTCCCAGACCAACCACTCAGGAGTGTTAGACATATAACTCTATTCTTTTAACTCAACTTAAGTTCATGTTGGTTTTTCCATAATGCCCAGCCAGCGGAAAATGTATCTGCTATTGCAGAGGTCCCTGTTTTCCCAAGATTGAGTCAATTCTGAGATGAGGTCATTCTGCAGTGTTAAGGCATTGAAGGGAAGCTAGTGTGGCCATTGAGCAACATCTGCCCATGGATCTCCATTAGATACCTACCTGACTTCTGCAGATTCAGCAGGTAACTTCTGTTTTAATTTTCAAACAAGGCCAAACAAATCTTGTCAGACTGGCCATGTTCCAGTCTGCCAATACAGACCATACAGATAGATACTTAAAATCATTAGGACACATAGTCCATAGTTAAGATGACATTCATATTAACCTAATGAGTTATAGCTATTTTGGATATGTAGCAAGAGAATGAATCACAGTGAAATCAGCAATTAAACATCATTGTATTTCATCCATATTTTCAACCCTATCGTGTACTCTTAAGCTGTGGTAGCTTTGGCAGAAAGTAGACCAGATCTTCACTGATATCAGAAAATTCACTCTCTTCTCCTTCTAATTCACCCCCTACTCTACCCCAGGAGTCCTAATTTATCATCCTAGGGATAATTTTGCATTCTCCTTTCTGGCCATGATACTTTATCCACGAATTATTCCCTTGCTTAAGTCGCTAGAAATTAAAGCTGTTATTTTTGCTTTCTAGACTGAGTCAATAAACAGACTAGCTAATTGAAGTACAAAAATAAAGAAAAAAGGCATAAACACAGATTTTATATGTTAGTTTTAAATACATGCATATAGATTTATATCTGAAACTATTAAGAAATACTTGCTTTCTTGGTGTAAAATTACTCCACTGCATTAATCTGTTGAGTGTGAATACTTTCCACCTTAGGTACCTAAAAGATTACAGGAAGATTAAGCCAATTATTTTCTCTTTATCCTTCCACACACCTGATTCTTTTCTTTCTTGAACTCAGAATCAGTCATAAGCATACAGTTTCATCTGTTCAAAACATTTCTCTGTTTGGATTTAAAAGGAAAGGGTTCAGAACAAAGTCGACTTCCAATGGACTCCACATACAAAATATAATAACAAGTAAGGATTCCAGCTTAAAGTAAACATGGTAAAAGTTTAATTTCAAGTCATATTTCATTATATGTCCTATATCTATATTCTATATCTCCACTGTCCAATAGAATGGTCTTTTAATATTTAAATATAAATTAACTGCCACTAACCAGAATTTAGAAAGGTGTCGCCCAGTCGTTCTACATACATTTCAAGTGTTCGGTAGCCATATGTAGCTATTGTTCTACAGTGATCTATATTATCCTACATTATAGAGCATTTCTATCATTTTAGAAAATATTCTATTGGACAATGCTGGCCCATATAATTATTACAACATTCCCAGGAGTTTGGAATTGTTCCTATTTTGAAGACTAATTCACTGAATCTCAGAGAATTAAAGAAACTACAAGTTATCTGCTTTTAAACCTGGAAGCCCCAGGACTTGGATTTAGCTTTGTTTTACTGGAAATAAAATGCTTCAAAATCTATTTTGGACACATTAACTACTTTTATACTTTTTTGAAATACATCATACTTATGGAACAACCTACATATATCTTATTTTACACAGATCAACAGTTGGTAGGGTTTATGAAATTTTTCCAATGGAGTCTCCCACCTCTAGCCCTAAGAACAACTCGCTTCCAGGGCATAGGTTAAAATGAGATGTATTTGTAGGTGAGTCTCTGATGAGATCGAAAGTGTTTTGTTTTGTTTTGTTTTAAATCAAGAATCAAGGACTCAGGGTAAAACTCTAATTCTAGTAAAATTTATTGCTGTATTGATTTTTGTATACTTTTATTATTGATTCTTTTTGTTTGTCAAAAGACCTAAGTATATCAGTATATTTTCAGAGAAAAAACTCTGAGCATTCTGCTACGAATCTGTTGAGTCTTGACACTGTAGATGATGGGGTTCATCAAAGGTGGGAAAAGGATGTAAATGTTGCCCATGAGGACGTGGACCATGGGAGAGAGATGCTTGCCAAAGCGGTGCACCATTGTTAAGCTAATGATAGGGATGTAGAACACGAGGACAGCACAGATGTGGGAGATGCAGGTCTGAAGTGACTTATGCTGCTCCTCCTGAGAGGCGATTGCCAGGACTGACTTAAGAATCAGGACGTAGGAGAAAAGGATAAGAACAGCATCCAACAATAATGTGCAAATGACCAGCATCAGGGCATAGTAGCTGTTGAATCGAATGTCTGAGCAGGCTAGGCGGAGAAGGTCCTGGTGCAGGCAGAAAGAGTGAGAGAGGATGTGGGGACGGCAGTAATTTAAGAACTTTAGGCGAATGATGACTGGAGGTATGAGTAAAGTACTCCTGCATAAGATTGCCACTCCGATTTTCATGACTTTGTCATTAGTTAGGATGGAGGAGTAGCGTAGTGGGTGGCAAATGGCAACGTAGCGGTCAAAAGCCATGGCGAGAAGGACAGAGGATTCCATGAAGGACAGACCATGGATGAAATAGGACTGGGCAATGCAGGCATCCAGGCTGACTTCCTGGCTGAGCCCCCATAAGATCCCTAGCACTGTGTGCACAGTTGACAGCCCCATGCACAGGTCAGTGAGGGCCAGCATGGCCAGGAAGTAGAACATGGGCTGGTGCAGGCTCGGCTCAGTCCTGATCACGTGCAGCACCATGCAGTTTCCCAGAAGCACCATGGCATAAATAGTGGAGAAAGGAATGGAGAGCCAAGGGTATTGCTGCTCCAGGCCTGAAAATCCAGTAAGAAGGAAGGATGAGGAATTCATGGTAGGGCTTACTGAAGCAATCATCCTGAAACTAAAATACACTCTCCAGGTAGCAAGAGTTTATATTTCAAAGGAAATGCTTTGATTTCGGACGAGTTAGATAGAATCGTGAAATAAACAAAACTATGCTAAAAGTTAACTAGCTACAAAATATAGCCAATCAACTCTGTTCTTTAGAGGCATATTACATACAAGAATATGGTCTTGTCCTGATGTCAGTTAAGAGCCATTATTCATCCACTGGCCAGGTGAAGAGCAACCCCTCGAAGCCACATCTTAAAACAAATAGACTAGAGTAGAAAGTGAGTTTTCAGAAAGGATATGTTGTCTGGGACATTTTTCCAGGGATGCTGGTGAGATGCTGGACCTGTAAAATTGAGAGCTAAAGTTCTCAAAATCCTTATTATTCTCCCCCTGGCCCCAACTCAATTCATTAAGCATTTAAAGTGAAGGATAAACTTTGAGCTTGACTATCATAACTTCATTTAAGTAGTCACTTCATACCCATCATTTTTTTGTGTGCTGTCTGTCTCCAAGTGTATTTTTCATCCAAATAGTACTTCGTAAAGATGTTCCTGTGTTACCCCACTCCAAATGACATAGCCAACAATTACTCTTCCTTCCTTGGCAAAAGGCAGAGGGGAACATTTATTTATTCATGAGGCCTTTGGTGAATGATTTCCCACAGGAGTGCTATCCCCCTGAGATGTTTGACTCATCTCTGCCCTTGTGGCACAGAAACTCAGATTAAAGACCTGCACCTTCTGACATTAGCCAGTGTTTTCTGTGCAGTTTTTCATTCATTCAATCGGCCAATCGAGTGTTCATTTAATATGCACTTATAGAAGGGATCGAGCAGTTGTCTTCCCTTCCTTAGAATGTGCCACTCTAAAGATGAGAAGGCTAATGTCAAATGCTAAGTCTAGATTTTTAAAAATCCTCATTGCAGCAGAATTGCTTGGCTTCTTAGTCTCTTGCTTTGAGTTCTGGCCTATGATTCATCACAAGAGATTGAAAAGTTTTTGTAATATAGGCAGGTGTTCAAGAGTCTATACTGGCTTTCGTGTTTAATTATTCCAACATGTTAAAGTAGCTTTAGATTCTGGCTCCCTTTAATGACCTATTATTCATCTTAGTCATACTAACCCACCAGGCAGCTCCTCAGGCTGATCTCTGAATTTACCTTTTGCCCCTGTCAGCATTAGATAATTTAGCTCACTATTTTAAAAACATCTTTTCATCCAATGCTTAGAGATTCCCTGCTCTTTGAAGAAAAACTTGTCAGTCTTTGAACATGTTTCTTCTTTTATTTCTCAAAATTGTCATTTTTCCTCATTCATGAGATTTTAAGATGTTCTTTCACAAGGAGGAGGAAGAGGTTGGGAAGCTTCTCTTGTGAAACAGTATTGAATTTTTCCTCTGGATTTCAACCATCACTTTTCAGGAAGCCCTTTAACTAAAACATGTACTGCACATATTTATTATTTTGGTAACATATTTATTTTTATAAAATGTATTCAACTTATAATTTGGCATTCATTAGCCTACTTATTTGACTAATGTCCCTGTTACACACTGAATTGTAAGTGCCCAAAGAGTGAGGACAGTGTCAGCTTTAACTCACTAGTATAGCCTAAAATTTTCACCTCTAAGTAATTATTTCTCCTCTGAGCTTGGACTCATGGACTCAGTTGCCTACTAGATATCTCCACCTGGGAATGTAATCTAAAAATTAAAATTATGACAATAAAATATTTAGTTTTCCTCAGAAATCTATTCTCTCTCCATTTTCTCCTAAATCATAAAATAACTCCACCAATTACAAAATTGTTTAAAGAAAACTCTTAAGAGTTATTCATAGTTCCTCAATTTTCTTCCCTCTCCTTTTCAAATCATTCATCAAATTCTATTTTTTACATCCTAAAAACATACTCTGAATCTGCTCACTTTTCACCCAACACACTGTCGATATCTTGGTTCATAACATTGTCACCTGTTCTTTGGCTGTTATAATAATTTAATAGCTAGTTTTATTGTTTTTTCACTTGCTCCCTAAAAATGTATTCTCCCCAGGGAAACCAGACTGCTTTTCTACAAACATCTACTAGATTGCATAAGTCCCTGTTGAAAAAAAGTCTAATGGACTCTCATTACTCTTATAATAAAATATCATCTTCAGAAATCATCCTAGACCTGGCCCACCTACGTCACCCACATCGTAGACCACTGTTGCCTTCACTCCCTAATCTCTAAGCATCTCTCTCTTCCTCAAAGCTAATTAAGACTATTCCTATCTCAGGACTTTTGTCCTTGATCTTCTCTCTGCTTAGAATTATTTACTTCAAGTATTGCACAAAAGTTCCTTTCCTCATTCAGGTTTCAATTCAATGTTGCTTCTTCAGAGGGATATTTGTTACCTCACCATCATTTTTTTCTTCCATCCTCTCAAATTAGTTACTGTCATTGCAATATTGATTTGTATTCAAGCACTTATAATATGCTCGTTGTCTATTAGATGTACTGGGAGCTCTAGAACCGTGTCTGGTTTTGCTCATTACTATGCAAATTGAGGTTTAGCAGAGAGTGGCTATTTATTAAATAATTGCTGAATTAATGAAGTAATCTGAGTTAAAAATAGTGAAATTACAGAGGTATACAAACAAGGTAAATGCAAATACATTGTAAAAATGCCATGAGATCTAAACCCTCATACAATAAGGTATACATCTGATCCTTGCTGGTCATGTGCTTACCAATCTTGTATCATCATATATAAGGTTTCTATGACATATAAAACAGGTGCTGCCCTAGGAATTCATGCTGACCTTGGGCACAGCACTCAAAACTCAAATATGATTCCTATCATACCCAACCTGACCCAGGCATATAGGCAAAGCCCTGCGATTGATGACAAAATAACCAAACATTCTGTAGATATATAGGCACATATATTAAAAGCATATACTTTCATTCAGACTTCTTTAAACTAGCCACAAATGTTAATGGTGGCTTCACAGAGAATATCAGTCTTTGAGCAATACTAGAGAAATAAATGTGGAGATTTTTTTAAAATTTTATTTATTTAAATTTATTCAAGTATATAGTACATTGTTTAGACATCTATATAGTTCATGAAACGATCTCCCCATTTGCTCCCTCCCTCACCTGGCCCTCCACCTAGCCATTATATTAATGCTAACTGCATTTTCCTACGCTGTGCTCCCCATCCTTGTGACCATCTATCAACTATTAATTTGTACTTCTTTAACACTTCACCTCATTCTCCTTGTCTCCCAACCCTCCTCCCCTCTGTTCATCACCAAATTGTCCACTATATCTGTGAGTCTGTTTTTGATTAGTTTGTTCTTTTTGTTCCTTAAATTCTGCATATAAGTGAAATCATATGGTATTTATCTTTCTCTGTTTGACTTATTTCACTTAGCATAATAACCTCTAGGTCCATCCATGTTGTTACAAGTGGTAGGATGATTTTATTTTATTTTTTAATGGCTAAGTAATATTCCTTTGTGTATATGAACCATAACTTCTTTATCCAATCATCTGTTGATGGGCATTTATGTTGCTTCCACATCTTGGCTATTGTAAATTGTGCTACCATGAATGTTGGGGTACATATAAATTATTTTTTTGGGTTTCTTTGGATTAATACCCAGAAGCGCAATTGCTGGGTCAAAAGGTATATCCATTTTTAATTTTTGAGAAACCTCCAGGCTTTTTTCTATAGCAGCTGTACCAATTTGCGATCCCACCAAGAATGTGTGAGGGTTCCCTTTTCTCCACATCCTCTCCAACACTTGTTCTTTTGTAATTTATTGATGATAGTCATTCTGACAGGTGTGAGGTGATATCTCATTGTGGTTTTATTGCATTTCTCTGATGGTTAGCGACCTTGAGCATCTTTTCATATGTCTATTAGCCATCTGTATTTCCTCTTTGGAGAAGTATCTGTTCAGACCTTCTGCCCATTTTTTAATTGGATTGTTTGCTTTTTAGTTGTTGAGTTGTATGAGTACTTTAAATCTTTAATCCATTTTGAGTCTATTCTTATATACAGTGTAAGAAGGTAGTCCAGCTTGGTTTTTTGGGTTTTGTTTTTGTTTTTGTTTTTGTTTTTTGCATCTAACTGTCCAATTTTCCCAACACCATTTATTGAAGAGATTATCTTTACTCCATTGTATATTCTTACCTCCTTTGTCATATATTAAGTGAGCATATAGGCATGGATTTATTTCTAGCCTCTCTATTCTGTTCCATTGATCAATGTATCTGTTTTTATTCCAGTACCATGCTGTTTTGATTACTGTATCCTTGCAGTATAGTTTGATATCAGGTAGTGTGATACCTCCAACTTTGGTCTTCGTTCTCAATATTGCTGTGGCTATTCGGGGTCTGTTTTCTCCTGTTGTTTCATTTGTGGCATGTTCCTTTGTTTTCTCATTTTATTAGCCTCTTTGTATTCCTGTCTATGTGTCAGGAATATTTGTTTCATCTATCAGCCTTGGCCAGATGGCCTAATGTGGTAGGTGTCCTGTTCGGCCCAGTGGCTCACTCTCCTTGATTGCCTATGCTGGGGGCTCTAGACGTGCTCTTTGTGTGGGTTGTGTATGATCTTCTGTTTTCGCCAAGCCTTTATTGTTGTTAGTAGATCAGTGGATGGGATTAACACTGAGGCTGACTTATTGTGGGAATTGGCTGCACCCACAGGGTAGAGCTGCTGTGTGAGAGTGACCCCACTGAGTGAGATTTGCCCTAGCAAGTTCGTGTACTTGTTGCAATCACCCTTTGTGTATGTCACTAATGAGACTAGTCAGGAGTTGCTCCATTGCGGTCTGGTGCCAGCCTCCAGATGCGTTGGTTTTGTGGCCCCTTGGGAGGACCTCCCCCATAGGCTAAGGTCGGCTACTGCTTTTGATTGCTCAAGACTACCGGGTGAGAACTACAAAGCGATCCACAGATGGTTGTTGCCTATGCTGGATCTATAGGTATTGGAAGAGACAATGCTGTAGATCAGTTATCCCCCGTCTCTGACCTATGGCAGTTTAGCAGAGGGACTAATGCTCCTCAAGGCTTGACGCTGCCTATCAGTTGCCTGTAAGTCTGTGAAACTGGATGAGCCTCTGGGTGATATGCAATGTTGGGTGGCTCAGGGACTCTGGGAGTCTCTTGGATCTATTGAGTAAATTTCCCCCTGCCACTGCAATGTCAATTTACGTGCCCTCACTGTCTCTGTGGCTCGTTGTACAAGTTTCCACTCATAGCAAGGTCAGCTGCTGCCCACTCTGGGCTTAAATGTGCTACCCCAAGACAGGGGCAGCTGTTTATCAACGTACAGCAGGCACTTTGTGTATTGGATGCAGCAGGAGCTCAGGGAGTCAAGGCTCATCAGGCCAATACAGACTCCTGCAATTCCCTCAAGAGATATTGCAGATCATACAAGCAGCAGTAGTTTTTTCACAACTGTTTTCCTCAAAATGCACTCAATGCGCTGGTCAAGGTCTATTACCTGCACTGACTGCACAACTCCACAGACAAGCAGGGCACAAGAGGCTGCTTGTCAATGGGCTGCAGGCACTTCGTGGCTTAGGCAAAGCGAGATCTCAGAGAGACAATGTCCATCCAGCCAATATAGCCTCAGGGTTGTTGTAACTTCTGTGCCTGGGCATTCTCTCTGTAGTCACAGATCACAGTGAGGCCAGGGGCAGTCTGAGGTGGTCCCAAGGACCCCTGCACTCTCCAGACACAATATTGCAACTCTTGAAGGCAGACAGATCTGCCAGCCTCTGATTTCAGTGCAGTGCCCGCCCTGTGATAGCCAAAGTTTGTTGCCTGTGTGGATTGGGAGTCAAGGAAAGGGAGGGACTGGGCTGTGGCAGTTCACTGACAATGGGCCGCCTGGGGCAATTTGTGGGTAGTGTGGGGTGGGGACTCAGAGAGATAATGGCAGTCAGATCAATGCAGCCTGTCTTGCTGCAAATTTGGTAACTGTTCACGAGTTCCCGCATAAGTACCAGATCACAGCAAGACCAGCTACTGTCTGGCACTGGCTCACAGGTCCCCAAGATCCACCCAAGTTCATGTTGGCAACGTGATCTGCCTGATGCTCACAGTGCTGGTAGCCTGCTGTGAATGCTTGGCCCTGAATCTAAGCAGGGTTTGACAGCCATCCAACAACAAATGCCCTGGGCATTTTGGAGATTGGGTGGGGCTTGCTGATCTCCTCTGACTAGCACTTCCTAATGGCTCTGTGGGTGGAGTCTGCACAGTCAAGCTGGCTGGTCTGTAGATTGCCCGATAAGGGAGCTGAAATAAGGCACAATGGTGGCTGCCCTTCCAGCCTCATTCTGGCACCAGATAGTGCAAGCTTTCTCCGAATGAATTTATGCAAGCATCTGACCCACCGCTGGTGTCCTGGGTGAATGTCCACAGGTCAGAAAGTCTGTGTGCATGAGCACTTCAAAGAGGCGTCTAGGGATTCAGTCTCCATCCATCTCACCCAGATGACCGGAATCCTCTCTGGTTTTTACAGTCCCTGGGCTGGGACCCTGTGCTGGGGAGCCCCCAGATGAGACCTGGACCCCTCTCTCTTTCAGGAGAGATTCCGCAGCCTCGCTCTCTCTCCCGGTGATCCTCCTCCACCCACAGGTATGGGTCCTGCCCAACTGGCAACTTTTCCCCTCCTACCGGCTCAATGTGGCTCCTTTATATTATCAGACATACATACGTGTTACTATCAGCTAGACTTCAGGTAATTCTCCATGATGATTGTTTTATAATTTGGTTGTAATTTCAATGTGGACCTGGGAGGAGACTAACCCTACTTTTACCTAGTCCACTACCTTCCTCCTCCTCTCTGGAGATTTTTTTAAAAATCTTACTTTGAGAGGTGGGATGAAAATCAGGAGATGATAGAGTTGATGAGACCAATAAATGGAGATTTCAAGAAGAAAGTGTTCATATATGTTAGATGCACTATACACTCCATCTGTACTAAAACAGAACAAAAGAAAACAAAACAAAACAAAACAAAATCATTTCCCCTAACACCATGCTGTGATATGCCATCTCAGAATTAGTATGCAAAATAATTCTATCTGAATTTCTAGCAACTGGAACAATGTCTGGCATAAAATAAATAATTAGGATGAGCAGCAGTGAATTTGAGTCTGAGGCAGTAATAGGATTATGGTATTCCTTCT